AAACATTTATTTTAATGCTTTTATTAGGTAGTTTGTTAATTTTATTTTAAAACATTTATTTTAATGCTTTTATTCTAGTCAAATGCTAAAATCCCTAGTATGATATAGGCTATTTGACCCACCACTAATGTATGCTACTCCCAAAACTGATTATCTCCCTCTCTCTCTCTCTCTCTCTCTCTCCCTCCCTCCCTCACACACTAACACACACGCACATCCCCCATTGAAAACCCTTCACGGATTCATATTTGCTACCGATTCAGTCACTCACACAAAGTTGGGTATGTACTTATTTAATCATCGTGTGATCTGAGCAATAAAAAAAGAAAATATCGATATCATTTCCGTAGTGATGGAATTGTCAATATTGTGAAGTTTTGGTATTTTCTCTATTTGATGACATTTTCAAGTATTTTAGTGGCAATTATGTTTATAAAATATGAAAGCCTTGAATTTTAATTCTTTCAAGTACGTGAAGGATTCATTCTTGAAAAGTTATAGCGTCATTCTTTGGGAAATTATTTCTTGTTGATGATTATTTGATGTTTTCTTATGAAACGGAAATTGAGACCGATGAAATACTCCATTTTCTACCTCGTTTTGGCGATTTTATGGTGAGGGATTGTTGGTATGATTTTACTATTTGTTGGGAATTGGAATGCAGTTAATACCATAATAACCGAAATATATCCCAAAACTTGATGTTATAATCACCTGCTATGATAATTGTAGGATATCATAAATAATTCTCTTGTTACTCTCTATCGGTAATTCTGCTAAAGGCAAGAAATGATATAATAGTTATTCGAGTATTTAGGCTGAACTGGATTTAGCGATTATGCATACGTTGACTTCAAATGAATAAGATTTAAAAAAAAAAAAATCCAACTTTTGATTTTAAGGCATAATCAGAATTATACTCCTATCTTAACACAAACCAGGTGGTTAGAATTCCATAGTTGTATCTCTGTGTTGTGGAAAGAGGAATTGTATGTTATAGTTGCTAAAAGTTTTAGTCTGTGTGCCTTGAATTTGGAATGTTTGATAATTTTCGATTTATTTCTGGTTCTTCATATCGTCTTGTATGTACAGGTTATTGGTTTGTGTAGCATCAATACCATCTGGAAAGATTGCAAAGATATAGAAGTTTTCCGCATTAACAATGAATGATACCATCATCAAGGACCGCATTGCAGCATTGCTGCAAGTTATGCAAACAACAAAAATTATTAAAGAGGACAATATTCCATGCAAAATTGAAGAGGTAATTACTTTTGAGCTGGCGATTCTAATTTTTAACATCATGACTTATGAGATTGTTCTTCTACTTTCTCAGGGTCTTTACTTGGGCTCACTTGGAGCTGCCAATAACAAGAGTACTTTGAGAAGCTTGAATATCACACACATATTAACGGTCGCCCATTCTTTGTCCCCTGCTCATCCAAATGACTTTATATACAAAACTATTCCTGGTAAAGAATTGCTGAGTCAAATCTTCAAAATAGCATCCATTTTACAAAAAATTGTGCAATAACTCATTGCTTTTTGTTGTATAGAAGAATTACTTATTAATTATGATAGTGGGCCAAAGTGAGTTTGAGAATGTTTGGCCAAGCTTGAAGTCCGAAGAGTTTACTTATAACTAGATAATTAAGTGTTAAAATGAGTAATTTTCATTAATTAAAGTTGGAAATAAATTACTTATTTTGATAGCAAGCTAAGAGTTACTTTGGATGTACATAAGTTCTTTTATTTAGAAGCAAGAAAAAAGTAGTTGATCCAAACATGTTTTAAAACATAATGTCTTAAGTAACTTTGCCTTTTATTTGAGCTTGGCCAAACATGCTGTCAGTGGATTTAATTTCGAAGTGTAAAGCGTGTTTGCTAACATTACACTTAATGCCACCTTGAGATCATTTTATCTATTCTGAGGATTTATTTTGACCTTTCTAAATATGAATTATTGTTTGTTGCAATGCTGTTATTCTTTTTACTTTTATGTCTGGTGTTCTAGCTTCCTAATAAATGAATCCAGTTGAATCTTTTTGTTCTTTTTACACAAAAAACTTAGTGAACGTCTTATTTATGATGTTCCTTCTGAATTCGAGCAGTAATGGATAGAGAAGATGTGGATATATTACAGTACTTTAGCGAGTGTTTCAATTTTATTGAAGAAGCTAAAAAGACAGGTGGTGGTGTTTTGGTTCATTGCTTTGCTGGAAGATCCCGAAGGTTTGCTTTTACTCTATTTATTTTGACCTTTACTGCAATGTAGTAATTTTAAGTAATAGGCAACGTTTACCATTTTTGTGCATATTAGTAGATTCTTTGTATCACTAGATTGAAATAAAAATTTATGTAGTGGTACCAGCTTCCACAATTAATCTTTGTTCCAACTTTAGTTATCAGGGAAAGGGAACTTTAGAAAAGTTTAAAAATTAAGCGAGTTACATTAATGATGGTATATACAACTGTTTGGTATAAGTAAAATTTGAAAATGTTCAGTTACAAGCTTTAATGAAATTGCATTAATTTAAAGAGTGACAGGTGTAAAGCTTGTTTATTGATGTTCTCGAGTTTGCTTAGTCGGGTGCAATATGAGTAATGTTGAGTTTTGACCTGTTTTGTCGTGGGCAAATGTATATAGGAATGTTCTCCAATGCCTTAAATATGTGATCAGCTGTTCCATATACCACCGTCCTTGCTTTGTATTGGCCGATCTGGATCCTTTTAGCAAGTATAATTCTGGAGAAGGTATTCGATGAGGCAAAATAGAACGTTTTTCTCAAAACATAACCACTTACCATGCAATACAGCAATTTTTGTTCTTTTCTTCGTCAATTTAGAAATGAACTAAGGATTTGTTTTGGGGAGATTTTTTTTAAAATAATTTTCAACCACATTCTATGCGACCCACAATTTTTCCCCACTTTTCAACCAACATTCTCTAAAAAAAAATATCATTTTCACTTGAAAGTTTGTCTCCCAAACCAACGCTAAGAGTCCTCCTAAAACACTGGCTTTTTTTTTCCCCAAATTTGGCTAACATTCAAGATGTTGTTGGAATGTTGGTTGGATCATGTACTTATGTTCTAGCACTATTGACTGATGAGCTGGCAGTACATGGACCATTTCAATATCCTTATATTCACTAGAAAATCCCGAATATGGTCCTCCAATGAAGATTGTTTGTGACATCTCAAGTATTAGTTCCTTCAGTATATCATAATCTCACTTATCATGCAAAACTCATTGTAGATATTTTGTTTATGTAATGTGAAAAATCCAATATTAAATTGTGATGGTTAATATATGTACAGTGTCATCCAAGAGGCCGTTTAGGTACTCTCAATCTTTCTTAGCCTGCAACATCATCTTGACCACCATGTCTAGTCTGCCTATATATGTCCGAAGTAGGAGCTGGAGTTAGTATAGAGTGGGCAAATACATTTTTTATGATGTTTTCATATTTTGAGAGTAGGTTCTCTCTCTTTTGCTTCTTCACCCTATTTGCTCCTAGCTGGAACATTGCTTTCGGGAGGGGCTTACATGATTGGGAACTGGATGACTATACATTATTTTTGGCCTCTCTGTATGATGTGCACATTCGAGTGGGAGAGGAAGATTGTAGCAGGTGGAGGGCGGCACAGAATTGT